TACCGATGTCACTTCCGGCCTTTTCAAACCACTTCCTACTCCCCAGTACCGCTACCGTCCTCTCCTCTCTATTCCATGCCTCAAACATCTCCCTGTACGTCCCTTGTATTCTTCCCAGCTCAGTCATGTACACTTCCCTCTCCTTTTCGTACCACGGACATTCCGCGACTACATGAACACTGTCTTCGCATTCGAAGCCGCAATCACATTTGAACTTGTCGTCTTCGTCGTCTACCGTCCTATGTCTTCGTCGACGTTCGCGAAGGCCTATGTCCCCGGTCCTGAATTTGACCTTAAGCTTTGTCCCTGCATCCATTGGTCCATGTAGGTAATCCTTGAACCCTATTCCTTCTTTCAACATTCCGTACACTTCTAGACCCAGGGGGGGGGGTGCACATAAAACCCTTCCTGTTTTCCTGTGATCTGTTCGTGCGCTCCCTCAGTGCCCCGCTTGTAGATCGTAAAAAAATGTACGTTCGTCTATCCTGTCTGTGGTGTCCTCGTGAAAACGTATCACTCATGCGAATTCTCTCGCTAACGCGGCCTTCCCTTTCTCGTCACTTTTGGTTTGTCGCGCCCACGCGTGCATGCACAGCAGGCAAGAGGAAGGGGACCAACGGGAGTAAGGAGATAGATGGGGCAAACACCAGGTTTCAGCAGGCCGTGTTGGATACCACGGGCGGAAGGTGGGCAGGCGATTAGTCTTTGTAGTCGATATCAGTCGTGAAAGAACACATTCTACATCCATCCCAAGATTGACCCTCCGTGCGAAATCCCGCCGTTCCAAACCAACTTGGTAGAATATATTTGTTAGTTTTTGAATTCGACGCACTTTCTGAACGTCTGTGGTTTCGAAACACCTGCACGCGGCTGTTGGGGGAGGGGATTTTTCGTGCCCGGAGCCGTCTGTGGTGCTTAATCATCATCCGAGTCATCGTCGTGTTGTGCAATTCCCGTAACCACCTACTACTGCTGTATGCACACATGCTTTCTCGGCCGCATTTTCCCCTCCTGATACTCCAGTAGGGGGACTGATAAAAATTCGTTTTTGGTTTGTTTGTGATGCGGGGTTCGCACGCCTTGATGACCCATGCCTCTCTCGTTCCTCGGCGCCGCAACACCATTCTGCGGTGCGTTACCCTTACACGAATCCTTCTTCGCCGCCATCTCCCCGACCAGGGGAGCGCCTCCAACGGCAGGCAGACATAGTGGCACAAGCTCCGGCGGCGGCAGCATGGCATCCTTGGACCCGTCGGCCGCCGCCGCGGCTGGCAAACGCCGTAGCAACGACGGCGAAGGTGGGGGAGGGACAGGGCGTCGATGTCAGGACGGCTCGAACGCCGTCGGGTCGCCGGGGGCAGGGAACGCCAAGAGACGCTTCAAATCCGCAGGCGAGAGAAGAAACACGCAGCAAGCTGCTATAAGTAGACGAAAGCAACCTCGTCGCTCATTGCTTGCGTCTGTCCGTCAACACGCAAGCTGCTGTTCATTCGAAAGGGGCCCGTCGTTTGTTGCTGCGGTCTGTCTGTCGTTTCCCACCAAACAGGAAACACTCCTGCTCGCGCGAGTTGAGCACAGCAAGAGCCATGTTGGTAGCAAGCGCGCTGTGGGTCTCGCCTGTATTTCAATTGTTCTCTCCGCCTCTGATACCGTACGCCACAAACACGAACCTGACTTCCATCCGTTGTCCTTGTCTTCGCCCGCGTAGCTGCACGTGTGGCTGCCGGCAACTACCACGCCGTTGATCGGCGGCACCATCCGGCGGACGCGCGCCCTGCTGGCGATGCCGCCGCCAATCGTCGTAGCCACCATCGACGTGGGAGTCCGGGCGGAAGCAACGGCGGCCGCGGCGGCGGCGGCGGCGGCGGTGGAGGGGGGGGTTCGAGCACGGCAGCATCGCCACCTCTGGCGCGGTCGCCTTCAAAAAAGCAGCCAGCGCGAGGTGCCATCGCATACCGATGACGAATTGCTTCTTGACGGGAGGTGGTTGTTGTATGCCCAATCTCGCGCGTTGAGTGAGGTGGTTTGCAACCGTTTACGCGAAGCCTCGCGGGCATTTCACGGGGAAAGAGCCAAACAACCCCAGACGAGAGGGATTTGATCGTTCTTTTTGGAGGTCTAAAAAGAGGTCCACGACTGCCATACGATAGGTAAGAAAAACTCAGCCCATTGCAGACATGATGTGGGATGATGGTAAGCCTTGGCGTCGACGGAAGCCACGTTTTCCGTTGACCATCGAAGGCGGGAAATAAACCGTTCCATGCTCTTCGTAAAAATCGTCCTGCTCTCTACCCGTTGCAATGCTCTCTAAGGCAGAGACACGTACTTTCGTGGCCACAACATGACCCCCAAAACTTACACCCACGACCGTCCGACCTCAATACATGCATGTCGTCAACCACGTGCACAACAAGAGTCAAGTTCATCATAGGCATGTTTCATCCTTCAGATCACTCCCAATGCCTTGCCTGCTTGTAAACATGCGGCAAGCCTCTACTTCGCACCCAACCTACGCCCCATTCGCGAAAGAGAGACCAGCAGTTGCCTGTGGGTCGTGAACGAAAAAATCCAGCCGCCAGCTTGGGACACGGCAAAATCATCCAAGGCGGCCGGGCCGGGGAGCGTTTCTTGCTGGACCAACTATTAAGCCACATCCATCGTATGCACACGGAATCAACCCCAACTTTCGCGCCCCAAACCAACAACACAACTACGCTTCTTCCACTCGCTGACAATAACAGCGGCCTCTTCCTCAGACACGAGCGGAAACCACCTCACTCTGTCGATCTGCTTCAAGCCTGTACACAATATGGTTGGACTCGGGGTATGCATAGCACATCGCCAGTGTCCCGACACACCGATACGCAAGCCCTGCAACAAACCGCGGGGGGCTCTTCCGTGCCACCATCGGCCAGAGCCCAAACCAGTGCTGCACCCGACGCCGCTGCATGCCCACACGTGTGTGGCCTGCACGGCGCATTATGGGTACGCGTAAGGAGGGCCACAACAACAGGTCACCCCCGAGAAATTCATACACTTGTGGTTGCCCTCATCATATCACCACCAGCGATTCTATGCCTGCGGGCACCACGGCACATCCGCCCAACATACGTTACGTTCCTTGACAGAACACGCGGAACGGAACGGAAATACAGGTTTTTGTACACAAAAACAAGGACGGGCGATTGACGGCCCTCAAACAAACAAAAAAAAGAAGAAAAAAGGAGCGAACTCGCCGTCACCGCCGCCGTATCGTGCGAGGCAACCTTGTGCGCGAGGTCGAAATCTCTCCCGCGGAGGAGGAGGAGGAGGAGGAGGAAGAAGAAGAAGAAGAAGACGACGAGAACGACGTGTCGTGACCACCGGCGGCGGCCTCACTCCTGCCACTACTTCTGCCGATGCCGCCGCTGCTGCTACCGACGCGACCGCCGCTGCTTGTAACGCGCCTCCCGCTACCGCCCGACCTCGGACGACGAACGCCGCTCCCGCTCCCGACGGCGCCGGGCCGGCCGAACAGGGTTTCGACGGAGGCGGTCGACCGGGCCGGCAGCCTCTTGGAAGGCGGCGGTCGCACGACGAAGGGCTTCGAGAGGAACCCGAACAATTGCGAGACGTGGTCCGCCAGACTGTCTCCGGACTTGCTCCGCTTTGTGCTCGAGCCCAGCGCCTGCCGCGGGTTGGGCGACGGTGAGCATGTGTTGGTCGGCGAGGGCCGGGGGATAGGGTTCGGCGGAGGGGGAAGTCTGGCGTAATTCTCATCGGCCATATGGTTAGCGTGGTCCAATGGGGGTTCACATTCACACGCAGACACACACGAAGGAGAAAGATACTGTTCCCAAGGAAAAAAAATGAAAACAGCTTCCGAACGCTGGAAACTTCAGCAAAGCCGGGTAGAGCGCGGCGGATGCAGCCAAAGACTTGTCGGGGACTCCGCGGACCACATTTTTTGTTGTGTTTGTTGTCCCGCTTTCAGAAGATGTGGTCAGCCTGTTGCCACATGGTTGGTGCTGGTTCGAGACACGACATGCTACGCACACCACGCACGCACACAAGCATTGAACGAAACGAGTGAAGAAAAGAAAACAAGAAAAAAACAAAAGCCTCGAATGAGAAGGGGGGAATTATTTTCTCCACACTTAAACTCCCTGCTCGGTCCACCTTGCGCATGGTGAGCTTCGACGTCCGCACGTTCTGCAGCAAGAAGCCGCTCGTGTCGTACCGGCGAGCGGCCTTGTCGACGAAGAGCTTCTTGAAACCCTTCCCACCGTAGAACGCCAGGGCGGCCTCGTTGGCTTCCTCAACCTTCGTCCGCGAGCCACGCACAACAGGAGACGCGAAGAACAAGGGAGCGCCGGGGGGGCGTAAGAACGTGGAACACGCAAGCCGAGGGAAAAACACAGGGACGACAAAACAACGACGATACCGATTGCTGAAAAAACGACGGCGACCCGGAAACGACCGTTCATCGAAAAAGCGGGATTTGTTCGATTGATTTTTTTGTTGTTGCCCATACCCAGCCGCACGCGAACACAGACAACACGGCCCCCCAGATTAATGTCCTTTAGAAGCATTTTCCGCCGTTGGTTGTACCGATACTGGGCGTCTTTTCATTGGCCAGCCAGCTGGCGCGGTCGATGCCAACATACACACGCAGCACACCTGCAGGATAATCTCGTCGAAGCTCCACGTCTTGACCAGGTCTTCGCACGCCTCCATGAGGGCCGAGCCGACGCCGCACCGCCGCACTCGAGGGTCCACCGCGAGGTTGGAAACCACCGGACGCGTGTCCGCCAGCGTAATGCCGGCTCCCATCCCGTACTTGGACCCGGAAGTCTCGGACACCTCCACAAACCCGACCATTCCGTCCTTGCGCCTGAAGAACGACGAGGGAAAAAAAAAATATAGCATGGCGTTGTATAGGGCGTGCTTTCGTCAGAGGACCAATTGCACACAGAGCGCAAGTTGTACCGATGTCCTGGCTCCGGCCACCTGGAGTGCCGTCCGGCATGGGGGACTTTGCTAGGCTCGGGTGGGGGCGAGCCACTCTTACGTGTACTCTTACAACGTGGTTTGTAGACATGTGTTTTTCGTCATTCTTGGCATCGCCCACCACGCTTCGAACGTTCGTGCCAACCTAAACATCCACATCTAGCACGTCCTTTCATTGGTACAAGCGCGCGGTAGGTCGACGCCTACGAAAGCAAAAGCACACGACACGGGGCACGCCCCCACCCCCCCGCCCCCCCATCCCACCTGGTGTCGATGGCCTTGAACATCACGCTCTCCCTGCGGCTGCACCTCGACTCCAGGTCCTGCCGCTGCTCGTGCAGCAGCTGCCGGAGCTGCGCGGCCTTCCACGGGCTGTCGGGCTGCCCGAAGAACACCTTGATGCAGAGGGCGCCCGCCTCGTCCAGGTCCTCCCTGCCCGCCAGCACCACCGCCAGCCGCTTGCTGCCGCGCACCGGCTTCGACCACATCACCGGCGGCTTGGGTCTCTTCCGCCTCGGCTTGGCGCCCGGCCGGAGCCCGGCGCCCATCCCGCCAGGCAGGTATATGTCGATGTCGTCGCCCTCGAAGTCATCGTCTTCGCCGCCGCCGCCGCCGTCGTCTTTGTCGGCGTCGTTCTCCTCCCCCTTCCAGATAACTGCTCCCCGCAACACCCCGACCTCGTCCCCGTAAACGCTGCCCGCTGTTTTCCTTTCGTGACCGCCGCCGTCGGCGGCGTCGACGCCCTCCGGTGCGGCTGCTTCTACAACGGTGCCGCCGCGCCCGTACGAAACCCGGTCGCCCCGCCCCGCCGCCGCTTCCTGGACGGGGATGGACGCGACGCGCTCTAGCGGCTCCTGTAGCCCCGACGATGCCGCCACCACCAGGTGCTGCTGCTGCTGCTGCCGCGGCCGTCGCCGCCGCCGCCGTAGCGGTGCCGAAAACGCGTCCGGTACCGGATCCGGGGATAACGAAGGGCGTTCCAGGCCCCACCCGCAACGTGGTCGCAATCGTGAGGTCTGTTGTTGTTGTTCGTATCGTCGTGGTGGTACGGCGGCGGTCTTCCTCACGTCTCGTTGGAGTTGAAAGGTGGACGGTGACGAGGAGGAGGAGGTTCGGGTACGAACCGTTGAGGCGACGAACGCGAGGTGATCTGCTCGCGCCACGGAACAAAGGGGGAGAACCGAGATAAGGGGGGGGGGGGGGGGGGGGGGG